TCGTCGCCGTCGCCGTCCTCCTCCTCCCCTCTTGCTGCTCCTCCTTCTCCTCCTTCCTCTTCGCCCTCCCCTTCCTCGTCGTCGTCGTCCTCCTACGTCTGACCTCGTTTCCCCTGGTATAAAAAGAGAAATCCCAAAAGCGGGATGGTGAATGAAAATGCAGAAGGAAGTAAAAGTGTAGAGATGAAAAAATAAGTAAAAAATCTTTTCGGAGTTTAAGGTTGAGGTCGAAGGCCTATATATGGCACCGCTTAATGGACAGGAAGGCGAATGTAGGGCAGGCGGGTTATATTGGCAGGTTTTAACATAAGAAATTGGTTGTATGGGAGATGAACGGGGGGAATGGGAGGGTATTTGAGAGACCGAGAGCGAGAGCCACAGAGGAGGAGGAGGCGGGGAGAGAGAGAGAGAAAAGCGACTACCAGAGAAAAAAATCCCTTGTCAGAGGAAAGGTAAAATGCAAAACACAATAAAAGATGAAAAGATAAAGCGAACATTATGGAAGCGTTTACATATTACGTGCCATGGGAGGTGTGAGAGTGAGAGAAAACAGGCTATTTTCATACCGATGATAGCTGAGCGTGTAAAGTTTCTCAGTCTCTCCGAGTCGGCGGTATGTTGTAATGTGCAGCCTTGCGGTGTCTGAGCTATGCCACGGATTGCCATTAAGTGGAAATTGTTCTCTTTAGGTTCGCTGAATGCAAGGAAAGATTGAAAGGAAAAGTAAAGATGTTTTTATCAGTGTGTGGTGGATTCTGGACAACGAAATCTTTCCTCATGGTGTCGAATGCATATATCGTCTGTATCAGATATTCTTGACACTAGAGGTATATTTTGTGGCTAAAATGTATATATTCTTGGAACCTCCTCGCCGCTTCAGACCTTTATAGTAGATGTCCTTCTCAAGTTTATCGTGTTATAGGCCTAATAAAATGGAGGAATCCCAATAACCTAGGCCCAAAGCTCTTGTCTTTCGTTGATGAAAGTCGGTTTCTGTTTCAAGGTCGTTGAATGCCTCTAGGGCCATCAATAAAAACTGCGGTCGGACCTGATAACCGCCTTTCCTGCTGTGGCCGTCTAGGGATGTAGAGGAAGAAGGGGGGGGGGGGAGAAGGATAGGGAGAGAGAGAGAGGGGGGGAAAGGGGGAGAGAAGGAGAGAGAGAGGAAGAGAGGGAGAAAGGGAGAGGAAGGGGAAGAGGGGGAGAAAGGGAGAGGAAGGGGAAGAGGGGGAGAAAAGGAGAGGAAGGGGAAGAGGGGGAGGGAGGGAGAGGAAGAGGAAGAGGGGGAGGGAGGGAGAGGAAGAGGAAGAGGGGGAGGGAGGGAGAGGAAGGGGAAGAGGGGGAGGAAGGGAGAGGAGAGGAAGAGGGGAAGAAAAGGAGAGGAAGGGGAAGAGGGGGAGGGAGAGGAGAGGAAGAGGGGGAGAGAGGGAAAGGAGAGGGAGAGGAAATGGGGAAGAGAGGGAGAGGAGAGGAAGAGGGGGAGAAAGAGAGAGGAGAAGAAGAGAGGGAGAGAGAGAAAGAGAATGAGGAAGAGGGAGAGAGACGGAAGAGAAGGGAGGGAGGAAGATGGATGGATAGAGGCAATGAGAGGAGGAAGGAAAAAAGAATTGAAGCAAAACGAAGAACAAGGAAGAAAACATGAGAGTAAAAGACAAATATCGGAGAGAGAGAGAGAGAGAGAGAGAGAGAGAGAGAGAGAGAGAGAGAGAGAGAGAGAGAGAGAGAGAGAGATTGATAGCAAGAGAAAGGGAAAGGGGCGGCCCAGGGAAGGAGGCTCCGCTTGTGAGAGTTCGACCAACGTGCCAGAAGGAGCCGTTGGTAGTACTGGTCCAAACCATCAGTAGTCAGTCTTCTATTCCACAAAAATTGTATTGCTATTATTAGATTTCTACCTTACCCGTCGTGGCACGTGCACCCCCCACCCTTGACTTAGGGTTGGGGGGGGGTGATGGTTAGACTTGCAGGGATAGGCTCGAAGGGAGGGGGGGGCGAGTGGGGGAGGGTAGGAGGCAATGGGGGACAAGGGCAAGGGGTAGGGGGAGCAGGGGGGGGGGGTCAAGAGACGGGTATCTTTACGTGGCACAGGTCATGTCCTAGAAACGATGATGGGGGAGGAGTTAATGATGGCGTCGAAGGTGGGGGGGGGAAAGAGTGGGGTAGGGGGGGTAACACAGCTTTGACGAATGTAGCATTTTTACCCTCGGTCAAAATTATATTTTTCTCTACTCAATCGGCCATATGCAGATTCACACATGACCACACACACACACACACACACTGCCAGACACGCCCACAGGGACGCCTGCTCTCGCTCTCCCTCCCCTTTGGTCTCCTCCTCCGCCTACTCCACCTCCTTCTCCCCTCCCCCCTCCATTCCCCCCCCCCCTATTGTGCCTCCCCCCTCCATTTTCCCCCCTACTCTCCCCTCCCCCCTCCCCTCCTGCAAGAAGAAGTTGGTGCAGTGACGGTGACTTGTGTAACGGGACCAGGAGTCGGTCGGTCCGTCAAGGTGAACCACAAGCGACTCTCCCTTGCCGTGGCTGAGCTTCCCCACGCTGCCGCCACTACCACTCCTCCCCCTACATCTTCCCTATGCTTCCCCACGCCTCCACTCGCTCTTTTTGTCTCTCCCTTTCCTCGTCTTTGATCCCTCCTTCGTCTTATTTCCCCTTATTCCTGACCGCTCCCAGTCCTCCTCCTCCTCCTCCTCCCCTCTATTTCCCATTACTTTCCCCTTCCCTATCCCCCATTCACTTTCCCCCTTGCCTCCCTCACGTCGATCCTTCCTCTTCCTTTTTATCTCCCAATCTCGCTCCTCTCCTTTTTTTTTTCTTTTTGCCTCCCTCTTCCCTTTGCCTTTCTCTCCCGTGAGCTTTCCCTCGCTTTGCTCGCTTTCCTTCTCATTTACTCTTGCCTCGTCTCCCCCTAACCCCCCCCCCCCCCCGTCCATTGCCTTGCCTTGTCCATCTCTCTCTCTCTTCTCCTCCCCTTGCTTCAGCGCAGCCCATTCTTGCTTCACTCATCTCGAACTCCAGTCGCTTTCTTAAATGTTCTTTGTCTCTGTGTCCCCGTCTTGTTTTTCTTTCGTTGCCTTTTTTTTCTTTTTCTTTGTTCTCGACAAACAGCTCTTTTATCTCTTTCTTTCTTTCTTTCTCTCTCTCTCTCTCTCTCTCTCTCTCTCTCTCTCTCTCTCTCTCTCTCTCTCTCTCTCTCTCTCTCTTTTCTCTTCCTCTCTTTCTCTCTCTCTCTTTCTCTTTCTTCCTCTTTCTTTTTCTTTCTCTCTTTCTCTTTCTCTCTTTCTCTTCATTACAGACTCTTTCCCTTTTTTTATCTCTTAATATTTCTTACGATATGTCATTGTGCTTACAAAAAAAATCCCCCTTTTCCGCGCGAGTTTCCACAGCCACAACTCCCCGCGGGTAGCTTCAGAGTGACCCAGAATAAAACTCAGTCTGGTAATGACACCGAGTCAGAATGAGAAGGCAGAATGAGAAGGCCCCCGACGGAGGACGCATGACACTTGGCAAGACTCGGTGTCATATGGAATTAGGATCGAGGTCACGGTGTCATGAGATCGACTCGAGATGGAAGATGGAGACGGGATAAAGAAGATAGGCGGGGGGGGGGGGGGGGGCGATGGAGGTTGTGATTGACGGTTTCTTCTGTTACTTCTGCTGCTGCTGTAATTATAGTAGTGGAGAGGTAGTCTTAAGGCTTCATAATGGAGTCTCAAGCACAGTTGATCAATTTGAAGAAAGGAGAAAGACAAGCGGCGCCTCTTCCAAGCAAGTTCAAAACCTCGTTTTTCTACCGGTGACTTTAACGGGACCACGATGATGGTGAAGATATGATAATGATAACGGTAACGATGATGGTATTCATGATATTAATAATGATAATGATTATTATTCTAACTGTAATGATAATAATAATTGCTAATATAAACATGTATAATGATAATAACGATAATAACAATACCACTAATGACAGCAGTAACAATAATTATTGTGGCGTTACTACTACCACTAGGCCTACTACTACTCGTACAACTGTTCTCATACGACGACTACGTGTGATCTCCTGCATTCGTTTTTTACCCGCCTCGTAAATACCAGCGCGAGGGCAAGTGACATTTCATAAGGTTCCTCATTCCGCTCCTTTGCAACTGCCACTTGCTCTGGCTTGCAAATAGAGGCAGTTTGTGCATTAGATTCCTGTTCTTGTCTGTTAAATATGTTAGCATGGTCGTTGTCACGTTGCTTGAGGTTGAATTGCTTCATGGTAGTCCCAATGATGGCAAAGAAAATGATAGATAGATAACAGGACCTAGTAGTAATATTTTTTTTCTGTTGTCTTATTCACTTATCGATCTTAGACCTGACTGTCGAGTGGTTTGTAATTATGTGTTCCCTTATACGTTGTACTGTATTTTATGTTATTGTTTTTTAGTAGTATGCTCTCAGTATTTCCGGGTTCTGAATTCGTCCGGGAATGATAAGACGTCCCCTACGCTTTCGCGCACGCGCACGCAGCCTACATGACCCAAATATAGAACGTCTGGCGCGGAACTCTCCGGCACATTCCGTAACGCTAAAAAAAGATTTTAAAAAATCCATAATGTTATGTTAGGGCGCATCATTATTTTTTGGCCTTTGTAGGTGTGTTCAGGAAGTGACTCGGCGGAGGCTGCTTTTTCAGTTGTTTTTTTTCTTGCAGAGGGACTACGTACCTAAATATATGGTTATTAGGCGAATTTTGTGCTTTGTAGAACAAGGACAATCTGGCTAGCAACCGTTATTAAAAATGAAAAGGGTAGATGATTACATATGAAAATCTGATTCTTCGACGTGGAAAAAAGTTTTGGTTTGCAAAATATCTCCCTAAGTACGAATATATAATTACATGGAATTAGGTAAATGCTGTGAAAGATGTAAAATGAATACGAATACGAATCAAAATGCACCCGAAATTGTTCTAACTTTCTTCTTTTTTCTTTCCAGTTGATCGGCATGAGTGAGTGCCAGGCCCGCATCAAGCAGCTGGTGGACGATGCCAAGCAGATGGCCGGCCTGCCCCAGGACACCACCCTCGAGGGCCTG